CAAGGCATGTAGAAAATTTAAGTGTATCTTAGAATCAATCTAAAATATTCATTTTAGTAAAATTTACAAGGCAGTGTCTAATAACAAAGATAAGTAGGTACCTTTAATAAAAGAAGAAAAAATAATTAAGGTATAATTAAATATAATGTCATTCAATCTAATGAATTCTCATATTTTCCCACAAATATAGGGTCTTACATTTGCCCTGTATAATATTTTTCTTAAGGTCTTTGAAGGTGTGTGCTCTTCTAATAGATATTAAAATTAATTGTTCATAAACTTCTTGTTCTTCTCTTCACAATTTTTTTGCTTTGTTTTTTTGTTTATTTTTATTTTTATTTTTATTTTTTTTAGTACTGGGGATGGAACTTGGAACCTAGTGAGAGGCAGATAGTTGAACCACTGAGCTAAATTCCTGGCCCTCTCCACACTTTTAAGAACAGAAATTTCATATAGCCTCCTGCACTGATGTTGTAAAAACATAGTTCTGTAAAAATATGTTACATTTAATAATGTACTTTGGATAGATAATCACAAATATAAACAGACATACAATTAAATATTTAACTGTTTTCATTTTTTTCTCATTGAGTTTATTGGTACATTTTAGGTATACAGTACAGTTACATTAATTATTGGGATCTTGTACCTTTACAAGACAGGTCTTGGTTCTCATTTTTTCCCCTTGTCCCTGCCCTCCTTTCGGCCCTTCCTCCCCTCCCCATTTGCAAACACTTTATTTCCATTTTTTCATTTTCTCATATTTTTTTCTTTTCCCTTATTACCCTTCCCACTTTCCCTATACCTTTAGCCCTTTTCTTCCTATTTAACATTATCAATTATATTTGCCCATCAGTTGTAAACTGGATAAAGAAGAGGTGGTTTTTCTATGAAATGGAATACTATGCAGCCATAAAGAATGAGAAATTAGATTTTTCACAGGAAAATGGATACATATTGAGGATATACTCCTACGTGAAATAAATAAGTCACACATGTGTAAATATCAAATAGTTTATCTGATGTGAAAAATTATAATAGTATATAAGAGCCTAATGAGATAAATATTTAATTTTATACTAAGTAAGTTTTAATTTGGGGCTTGATGTTGTTAAATTTAAATAATAAAAATTTCTTATTAAGGAGTTTCAAGTACTTAAATTACTTGAGGTCATTACTAATTTAAGAAAGTTATTTGAAGAAATATAATGATGCATAATACTCAAGACATCTGAACCATTTCTTTGATTTATAAGGATTACTAGATCGCTATAAAGCATGTAGCTATTTGTTTTTATGTATCTTGTCATCTGTGTTATATACAAAAACAGAATCCCTGCTTTTCTCATCCTCAGATGGTCATATATACAAACAGCTCACCTAGTCACAACCTTACCCTTCAATATGTTGACTTTATCACTTCTAATGTCATTTTCTATAGCAAATCACACACTCTTCCTGGTCATATCTGAATCTCAGCATCAACCCCAAGTGTTCTTCTGAACTTACTAATTCAAGCATGCCATTTCTTCCTCGAACAATTTTCTCTCTTTTCAGTTTGCCAAATTGCAATCTTCTTTTTTAAACTCCATATATTTTCCAAGTGCATTATATCCTCCATATCCTTCACTCCCTCTGTTATAAGCTTGAATTTCATACTATAGTTTCGGTACCACTCAAATATTCTTAAATTTCTCTATTCCACTTTCATTTGGTCACATCTACATAGTATGTCCACAACCACCAGTGAATTTCCTTTCTTCTCATATACATTTAGTAAGGTTGTGCTTTTGAACAAATTTACAGCAGGAAAACTGATTTTCCATACTTCCCAGTGACACTAGTAGTTTTCTTTCACCAGTGTTCTTTTTACTGTCTGCAAATCTTATTAGTGTTCACTGTATCCAATGTGCATCTTCTGTTGATGAGGTTAGGAGAGAGACAGACAGAAGAAGAGAAGGAGGAGAGAGGGAGAGATAGAAAGCCATCAAAAACTAAGCAACTCTCTTCTTTCTCAAAATTATCTTTTTGCATTTTCTACATCACTTTATGCTGATTTCTTCTTAGCTCTTTGTGATGAAGTATGGAAAATCAAATAAAGCATTTTAGCATTCTTAATTGTAATCTATTAAAAGAGAACCTGTCTTCATTCCTGATTTCTATTCCAGTTATCATTCATTTATGTCTCAATTTAGCATTACATTTGTTTTAAAAATATTTCTGAATGAGTCACCAACTTGAACCCTAAGAAGTAAAAGACAGTTACATTCCACAATCTCATTTAGTGATTTTTTTTCTCATCTGAAGTTGGAAGTCTAAATTGTACTCCTTTATAAACAAAAGAAGATTCATTCATTTGTTAGATTTAGCAGATTAAAATGAGATAATATAAAAGTTTAAGACCATCACTATGGGAAGTAAGACATACATCAATGGGTAATTTCTTCTTGTTGTGTAGAGATGTATACTAATGTTCCCAAAGAAAACATGTCAATGTGATTTCATCCAATTTTTAAAATGTTCACATGACCTGTTTTTGTCTGTCAATTAAACTTTATTCACCTCTTATTTACATTTGTTTTTAACTTAAAAACATTTATTGTTGAGAAAATCCTTCTTCCTGTTAAAATCTTGACACTTGAATGGAGAAAGAAAAGAATTAGGGTATTTTTAAGGTAAATAAATGCTCGTGGGAAACAAAATATTAATTTTTAAGAAAAAAATGAACACTTTAGGTTGAAATTATGGGTAAATACATATATTACCTCCTATATGATCTTTATGTTATATAAAATCTGTGAGTATTTATGACCTCAGAAGTTTGTCCTTTGCAGAACACAATTTTCTGGAAGTTAAGTGTTGAAATTGTTTTTTTTGTTTTTTTTTTTGTACTAAGAATTGAACTCAGCACCTTGCATTTGCCAGGCATGCGCAGCTCCACTGACCTAAATCCCTAGCACTAAAATGCTTAATATTTTCAAATGAGGCCTTCAGATATGTTGGCCCAGGCCTAAAGGAGACTGAGACCTGAGGATGCCCAGGAGTTTGAGGTCAGCCGGAGCTACATAGTGAGTTCAGAGCCAACCTGAACTACACAGCAACCATCTGTCTCAGTACAAAAAACAAACAAACAAAAAAAGGAAGGTAATTGCTCAGAATTACTCTAAAACTCATTGGTTACTGAAAAGAAGAAAGTTCATATGAACAATGAGAAATCTCACAACTTTTACAAATTGATAAAAATCTAAATTGTCAGGCCTTTGAGCACTACATTTAGTTGTGTTTTCTGTTTGTTTTCATAATTTCTCTTCCACTTTATATTTCAAGGTGCTTCCATGGTTTAAGTTTCCTATTTCAAAATGCTAAATGAAAATTTGAAGAATACTGATATTTTACCTTGTGAAAATTTCATTGATTTGATTTATGGGAAAATGCTTTCCTAGTTCAGGGAGATTATTTTGCTCATGGTAATACCTGTTCCTAAACATGTTTAGCATTTTGACTGGGAAGCTCTTGTTACCTTTTTTTCTTTCTTTCCTTTTTTCCAAATTCACCATAGATTTCATTGATATGTTGACAAAAAAAAATTAAACACTTAAGAAATATCTCTTTCTGGTATTAATTTTATTTTTTTCCCATGTAGCCTGTGAAAAACATGACTTAAACTTCTTAGGGCATTGTAATGACAACTTTCATGAGTTTTTATGACTTAGTTTATGTAAAAAATTAAAGAGCTTGCCACAGCTATTGTGGAACTAAGGCCAAAAAATATGCATTTTTCCAAAGCGCACATTTAATAAAAAATACATGGTTTCTCTGAATGAATGTGCTTAGAGGAGGCAGGTGCAAGGTGTTCCACTGCACATCTAACTTTTCTTTATAACAGTTGTACAATAAAAAAAGGAAATGCTCTAACTTGCCACAATTTTTATATAATTTCACATTTGAATTTTGTTATATTGAATGCATTTTACGTGAAATTGTAGTAACAGTTTTACTTTCTATGAATTAGTCTATTCTGTTTCTATAGAAAAATTTAAGCAATATTTCCATGGCTTTTTATTCAATTATTTGACTTCCATGCTTTCTGAATGCCTCTACTTCATCCAGGGAGTAAGATGGTGCTTCAAAGATACATTTATCAATGTTGTGTTTATGATAATTTATTGTAAGGTTGTGAATCCATCTAGGTCATTTCTTCTTTCAAAGCAATACTTGTAAAACACCAGTTCCAACAGATGAGTGTTTATACTGACAGCAGCACAATCACAGGAACTTACAATATTTATTTTTCAAGGTCAAATAGAGGAAGAAGTAATGAGGCAAAAAAGAAAAGTGATCAAATTATTATAACTCATGCATATATATTTAAAGAATAATAACTATTGCAGTGCTTATTACATGTTAAAAATTTAAGGTCCAGATCTGGAATGAACTTTACAGATTTATTCTTACTCCAAATCATGATAAAATTGAAGCTGCTAGGACTGTTGACCAAACCTTGTATGAAAATTAGAATCATACTAGTGCTTTCTCCACTTTAATTTACTGTCTTTCTAGAAGTCTGCTGACTTTTCTGTTAAATTTCAAAGCAAGCGGAATATCCAGGTGTCATTCAGTAAATTATTGTTTCTATTTACAAGCTAACACAGATGTGGCTTGAGATAAAGAATGCTCTTTACTGAGGTGCCTAAATTTCCTCTCAAGATGTACTAGAGGCTGGGAAAATGTGGTCATGCATGTTTCAGAGTGACTCATACTCAAGACAGACTTACTGGTCAGTTATTAAAATTGGTTCGGCCTGACTAAGCTTTTGAGCATGTATCACGATCCAGAAAAATATCAAACAAAATATGCACCATTGTTGATCTCATATATGAGCTTTCTCACATCTGAAATGATGCTCTTGTTTTATTCCATGGCTTTCGTTGGAGTGAAATGTATCCATTAACATTTGTGTGCTTTTCTTTCCCATCCGTCCTCCTCCACCCCATGAAAAGCACATCTGGGTAAGTTGGCTCACAATGGCTGCTGAACATGTTTATTTTCAGCACCATCCTCTTTTTCGTTTATCTTTAGTATTTCTTGTTTCAGTTGTAACACAAGCTGCACTGCCTCTGACCTAAAATGAAAATAGTTCTGTTCATTTCCACACAGTAAAAGGAATCATTGGTTCAGAGAAATGTTAATATTCAAATGAATTATATTGGCCTTTCAGGCACGCCTATTTCTTTGAATCTGTGACACACCAGTCAAAAGACATTGTGGAATTCCATTTCCTCTAATTCTTAAGTCATTAATTAGAATGAATTTTGTAGTAGCTAAGCCTCAACTAGTAATTTCAGGCCAGAATACTACTGATTGTGCTGCATGTCTCAGCCTGCTTGTGCTTTCTCTAGGACTTGTAATTCTCACCTGTAAAATAGTCAAGACACAAGCTTGTTTGCTAGCTAGCAGGACAGTACTTAATCAGAAAAGGTCAAATGTTGTCTTTCCATGAAAAGGTTGACATCTAGTGAGTACAAAGTAAGGCTTGATTTTGGCTGAATGTATATTCTTTCCACTATTTCTCATTTTCCTACTAAATTTTTAAAGAATAAAAAAATTTATATTTCTCAGATATTAGTTTCAAATTTAAAATTGTGTTCTTGGAGACAAAATTATATTATCTAGCACAAAAACAACCTGGGTTAGTAAAACAGAGTTACATAATATTTATAAAATGCTTACAAAGGTTTATCAACTTTTGTGTCGATAGTGTAGGAAGCTCACGAATACAATTTATATTGGACGTATTGTTTTTAAACTTAAAGCAACATTTTTTTCCATAAATACAGTGGCTCCAAAGATGCAATTATCTGGTAATCTGTAGCGAGTGTTACTAGCTGACTGTGAGGCTATTTTCTATATTAATACAAGGTCATGTACTTGTAGTTTTATTTTTTAAAGAGTATTTTTGTTTCATCATTCTTTTTAATTACAACTTGCTATCATTAAGATATTTAAACATAATATTTATTTCATTTAGGATAATTTTTTCTCATTAAGTTTATTGGTACTTTTTAGGTATCCAGTACAGTTACATTCATCATTGGTATCTTGTACCTTTACGCCATGTATCTTGGTTCTTATTTTTTTCCCATACCTCTGCCCTCCCTTCACCTCCTCCAATCTTCCCTATTTACAAAGATTTTGTTTCCATTTTTTCCTTTTCTCATATTTTTCTTTTTCCTTCTTTCTAGTATTTACACAAATGTGTTAGGACATTTTTTGTTATTGAGGAAAGCATTAGTAAGTTATTTTTAAAACAAGTATAACTGTAGATGGAATTCTAGACAACCATATTTGCCAAATAAATGCTGTAAGATCTTACTTTTAAAAAATAATGTATATTCATGATATTGGAATTTAAAAAATTATTTTCTCATCATCTTATAAAAATTTGGTCTTCTTGTTTCTTTCTTTTTTTTTTTGGTACTGGGGATTGAACTCAAGTCCTTGTGCTTGCAAGGCAGGCCACCGAACCGCTGAGCTAAAACCCCGGCCCTGGTCTTCTAGTGTTAATGATTATTAAGTTCAATAAGAAAGATAAATCCAAGAAATAGAACTTTATTCCCCCACTCATAATTGAAAAAAATACTTAAAACCAAAAAAGAGTTCTTCATGATTAGTGAAATTAATATAAGAAATTATAAATTAATATAAAATGATGAATTGTTATAAGAAATTATAAATTAATATAAGAAATTAACATAGTTTCTTTCATTATGAATTGAACATCTTGTCTCACCTAGACTCTTAGAACTTAATACTTTAACCCTCAAATTGTTTCCTGGAAGAACCACTAAAAGTGTGGTTAGGAAAATGTAGTGTCACTGGGAGCTTGTACATAGTGAAGATAACATGAGAAAATTTGAGGAGCAAAGATCACTGAATTAGGATGAGAACACAGAGTTAAAGTCTATCTTTCCCACTTCTTGCTAGATAATAACTGTGTATCTGACTGTTCTCTGTACTAATATTAACTTTCTGCTTACCATAAGAAGCATGAATGCAGAAAGCTTCCAAGCTAAGTAAAAGACCTCAAAATTTAAAAAGGCACTAAAGCAGTCTATTTCAAGTGGTATCCACATAACTTGAAAAATCACCCGTGTTTCACAGTAAATCTTCACTTACTGTCCAGCAGGGAGTGGGGAGTACAGACCAAAATGAAATTGTTTAGTAGAAAGTAATTCACATCCCTCTAGTTTGCAATAGCAACATTTTCAGTTACGTGGCTTAATCATATTTCTGTGTAAGTGTTTACACCTTTTTAATGTTTTGAAAATTATTAAATTCAAAATAAATTGAGGAAAGAAATTATGTAAATCCCAATGCAAATTAAAAACTAAATTAAATTTTCCTTCCTTAGATTATGCCCTATATTTTAGAGCAGCTTGGAGGAAAAAAAATACATTTTAAATATGGATGAATTTGAGGTTTAATGTAATCAATTTATTTCAAATCTAAATAGCCTAATATATGTTAGTGTGATCTATATAAAACACTGCTTAACTGTACCATGGATTTCTATACAGCATATTTGACTGAATGTGAATATAGGCAGTAAGAGGATGCATACACACTTGTACACATATAAAATTATAATGTAATTTGCTTTCAAAATCAAGTCATCCTTGTTAATGTTGAGATCAAAGTTCTCAATTTTATGGAGCTAAGTATGTATGTTTAGGTAATCAGTGTTCTCAAGAAGCTTGATTGGGATTTATAACACATATCTATTCAGAATATTTATGTTAACTGTTGTGCATTTTTAGCGTATATAGGCTGTTAAAAAATTAGATGGTAATATTCTTTGTTTAGATTTGCTGGCCAGAATTTCAACTAGTTTCTCAAGTTTGTGTTGATTTTCACAGAATTGATCAATAATTCCAGATTCTTGAATAATAGTTATGATAAGCTTATTCTTTCATTGAAGTTTGAGGTAATCCTAAGTTATTTAATCTCTTGAATGGTGACTTTAACGAAATAAGAAATATTTTACAATTAATTTTATATACATATTCTTGTATTATGCAAGGAAGATTTATTCTCTGATAAAATGTTAAGATTTTGATTAAAAATATCAAATCATGTAACTCATTCTTATTCTTATTTCTCCTGGTTTTATAAAAAACTAAGTATTTTCATGTGCCACAGTTATTAATATCCTCTAAAGATAAACTTTTCAAGCAAAAATGACATTACATTTTGGTCACAGAAAATACATTTGACTAAAACCAATAACAACAATTTCAGCTTTTTATCTCAATTACATAACCTGGGCCAACCTTTCCATAATGAGAGAATTAAAAGAAAAATTATAGTTCCTTTGTTCTCTTATAGAGTTGAGGATTGAAATATTTGATAGTATGGAAGAAAAGACTTAATGATTGAACAATTAGTCCCACGAATATCTTCCTGACCAACGATATCTATGAGTGAGGCTGGTGATATGTGACCAAATTTAAGGGAGAAAAATGTGGACTACAATGATCACAAAATATTTCATTTAAAAAGGAATCTGTGCCTGAAGTGAACAGCAATATTTTAAAAGGTGTAAAAGAAAGGAAACAACTAACGGTCCATGGAAAGAAACTTACAAAGTGAAATCAGTAATGCACAAACTGTGAAAGCTTTCAATTTTGGTTAGGAGTAGGAGAATGTAATTAGCAATATAAACCAAGACTAAACCACGAAAGTCTTTCTCAAATAGGTCGGGAATTATACTTGAATATTTGAGGAATTACTAAAGTGTTACTAAGAGGACAGCACTGTGACTATGAGTAATACAAGCTCACGTGTATTGACTGCTTCTTTTGTGCAAGTTGCTGTAGGCATCACAGTGCACATAATTTTTCATGAAATTCTTCCACATTCTGAAGAAGCTTCTGTTGTTCATTTTTCACTTTATACATGAAGAAACTAAGGCACAGTGACACAAAGTGACTGAGGCACACAGGAATGAAGGCTGAAGCATTTGACTTCAGGTGCCGATCTCTTACTTGAACCGGTATAAAAATCTAGGTCCCAGGCAAACAGTTTTCCTGGCAGTATAAAATGCTTGGTGAGAGAGGCCTATTAGTAACTAAGAAAAAAATGTGGTTGCAGTGAAAATAGACGATACAGTCGAAATTATGAGGGGGAAACTGGCAGGCACTGAATGGAAGGAGACTGAAATGCCCATCTTGAATAACAGAGGAATGGCACCATGTAGTATTTAGAGAGTCATAACACATATTGGAAATCCAAAAATAGCCTCCTGGTCTAAGTGGTCTGAGAATAAAGTCTCTTTTCACTAACAACAAAGAACTAGCACATTGGAAGGAATATTGGCAAGGTAACATTACTCTCACCATGGCCTGTGGGTAATTAATGACTTTCTCAGAGTTGTAAATACACTAACAAACTCAAGTTTTACCACTGGCAAACTGATAGCTACATTTAAAAAGGATTGCCTAGTAGATAATTTAGCACACTCTTAAAATTATAGTAGTGTTGATTCTTTAATTCATGGGATAACCAATGCAAGGAATTAAGGAATCAGAAAAATTATTTTCTACAAAAAAGGATGCTCACAGCAAAAGAAAATCATATAAATGCAGAAAAAACAAAGTTCAACCAACTCTACACTGCAAATTCCTCGTAATGTCAAGAGAAATAAATTTTTCCATTTAAATATTTAAGAGTTTGCTCAATTGACTGGTACACTGTACTGCCTTTCATTTATTAAATAAAAAATTAGATGAAGTCAGTAAACAACTGTGTACTTTGCACAATGTAAGGCATAAAAGACCCAACACATGACTCATCACTTCAGAAGAATATAGTATAGAGAAGACAAGCCTTGTATGCATATAATAATCTACCTAATGTTGTCTGTTCATAATAAGAGAAGGTTTGGATAGGAAAACTCATCCCAAACAGAAGAAGGCATTAGAACAAAAGTCCAAGTATCCAATATGATGAG